AGGTGAGGGCTAATCTGTCTTTGACATTGAAGAGAAGGGAAGTGGGGAGGCTGTCAGAGGGAGGGTCTCACTGTATAGCCTAGGCTCATGGTCTTTCTGCTCCAGTCTCCTGAGTAGCTGAGACTGCAGACTTCTTTTGGTGTTTTGTTTTGTTGTTTTGTTTTGTTGGCAAGGTTTTACTGTATATATCCAGGCTTGCCTTGAACTCACTATCACCCTGCCTTAGGCCTGTACTACCACACCAGGCCGTAGCCAGCATCATTAACAGCAGAAAGCTGACCCAGTGCGGTTCCCAGGCTGCAGTGACAAGGTAACAAGGGTCTAGGAACTAAAGCATGGTCTTCCTGGCCACCCAACCCTCCAGAGAGGCAGCATGAGAAAGCATAGGCAGGGAGGAGCAGGGAGCCCGCAGGCCAGCCTAATCACATGGGGGAGCCAGCAGGCCGGGTCATCGCCTCAAGGCAGCAGGTGCCAGACAAAAGTTCAGACTCCCCCTCCAGGGACAGCGCCTGCTCTACAGAGCGGGGTAGACCAAGTCCAAGGAGGCAGAGTGATAGCCGGCTCACACTCAGGTGGAAAATCACCCTCCTGTCACAGGGCAAAGTATTTAGGGCCCTTGGAAGATGAAGAGAAGCTACCACCATCAGCGTGCCTTGCTCTTGGTGACTCTCAGCCTGGCACCTGCTGGTTGGGCTGCTCTACATTACTCAGCCAAGCAGGAAGGTGATGCCTCGGGCCAGCACACCCAGACGGTGACCCAGAGACGCGTGGCCTTCCTCTTTCTCCACTCTGCAAAAGCAACAAGCACCAAGGTTTCCCTAGGGGAGGGAGAGCCTCGTCCCTCACAGCCCCATGTAACCCAGGAAGGATGCCAGGTCAACGCCCTGCCAAGGGCTCCCACACGCCCTTCCCAGGCCTCCTCGGCTCACCTAGTTCCCGATTTTCTGTCCTCTGACCCTGAGCTAATGTGCAGACACGCTCCCAAGCAGCCTCCAGAGCAGATGATCACTCACAGATGGAGAATGACGCAAACGGAGGCCATCTACATAAGCGAGGCAAGCTGAAACAAAAGCGGTCATTTTTTTCAGCTTGAACCACCAAGAGGGCAATATCCACAGGCGGGACCCAAGTCCACAGGCGCTGGCGATTCCATCCAGCTCTTTCCTGAGCCAGACCTGAGCTGGGTCCAATCTTGTCCCTTCAAGACTCACTGCCACCACCACACACACAAAGACCCTGCCATCCTGTCTCCTCCTCTTTGGTGGTCTCCATTTGGCACACAGCCCGCTACATAACTAAGACATCACCGGGGAAAATTAAAAACTCAGTGTACTTTTTTAAATGACAAATAAAGACCGGGGACAAATCATTAAACTCCATGTACTTTTTTAAATGACAAATAAGTCGGTAGTTTCTTCATTCTTCCTACACTCTCCCAGAGTAAGAATCTAGACCAGAGGGTGACTACAGTCTTGGGTCAGGAATGCTACAACTTCAGCCAAAGGTGAGATCTGAGAGGGTATGAAGTATGAGCCACCAAACCATTAATCAGAAAACTAGCTAAAGGGACTTCACTCCAGTCTTGGGGAAAGGGGAAGCATGCCCCTCATGGCCACCCAACCTCCTCTACCTGTCACCAATCCAGCCCTTCCCTCCCGTTATGTTAATGCTAGCTTTTCTCAAAAGGGAGGCCCTGGGGACCAGTGGGGTCTGCCCCTCACTGGATATCAGATCAACATCAGAGCTGCCTCCTCCCCGCCACCAAGCCCACCGTACCCGATGCCCAGCTTCTCTCCCGTATCTTACAAGCCAAGGCGTGTACACACACATTAGCAGCCAGTGTGGTGTACCCCTGTTTCATCAGCCCTGTCATAGGGAAGGATGGAGAAAGGGCAGGAGGGGCACCAGCAGTCCTGTGAGCAGGTGACTCCGGCTTATGGGCGGGGCAGGTCCCCCTGTGCCTGCCTTCTTACCTGCGATCCCCCATCTCTGATCTCCAGGGACCTCCATTCATTGTCAGCTAAACACCTCACCTCCTCCCCTCTCCTCCCGCAGCACTGAGGGTCAAAGGGCAGGTCTCTTGTCTGTACAAAGGGCTGAGGGAGGTAAGGGCCAATGCAGAACAGACTTAGAGCCCAGCTGGCAGGAAACTCAGAGTGACATGGACCAGGCTGCAGCTGGGACCACAGTGACACCAGGAGGACCAGGGACCCAACCCCTGGAAGGCACACTCGCAGAAGTCACCCAAAACTTTAAAACTTAATCCAGGAACTACTACTATGAGGTGTTAAGACCGCTGGTCCCAAGCCCTTTGCCGACACGAAGCCTGCAGATAGCAGACACCTTTCCCATTACCAATCCATCCCTCGAACCCAAAAGTCAGAGCGCATGCATCGCTGGGTACTCAGAACCAAAGGCTTTCCAACCCAACGCACACAGTGCCTGAGGACAAGCTCTCTGTCCTGTCAGCCTCCAGGCTGTGGGGCCACACTTCCGCATGGGTTTGTAGCTCTGCCAGATCTAACGTGAACCCAAGGAAGCTGAAGACCTGTTCCGTTTAGCTGCAAAATCCCAGCACCGCTACTATAAATAGCAGTACCTGGCTTATTTTACTAACCTAAGTGGCTGCGTGTGTGTGTGTGTGTGTGTGTGTGTGTGTGTGTGTGTGTGTGATATATGTGTGTGTATGTGTACATGGGTGTATGGTGTGTGCATGGTATATGTGTGTGCATGTATTTATGGCATGTATGTGTGTGTGAACATGCGTGAATGGTATGTGCAGTACATATATGTAGGTGTCTGTGTGTGTATATGTGGACTTGTGTGTACAGTGTGTGCATGCTATGTATTTGCGTGTATACATGTGTACATGGCATATACGCATGTGTGAGTGTACGCAGGTGGGCACAGTACACAGAAGATGGTGTGTGCATGGTATATGTGTGTATATGTGTGTGCATGTGTTTATGGCATGTATGTATGTGTGTGAACATGCGTGTATGGTATGTGCAGTACATATATGTAGGTGTCTGTGTGTGTATATGTGGACTTGTGTGTACAGTGTGTGCATGCTATGTATTTGCGTGTATACATGTGTACATGGCATATACGCATGTGTGAGTGTACGCAGGTGGGCACAGTACACAGAAGCTAGCGGAAGGCATCTGGTGTCTTACTCTGTCGCTCTCCACCTTATCTTTTGAGACGGGGTTTCTCACCGAAACTGAAGCTCAGTTCCAGCTAGGCTGTCTGTCCAGCCAGCTCCTAGCAATGGGGCTACAGTCGTGCAGTTACACCTTGCTGTTTTCTTTTTTACCTGTGTACTAGGATTTGATCTCAGGTCCTCTGGCTCTTACAAACACTCTGCTCACCGAGCTCCCATAGCCCCTCAAGCGTTGGATTATTTATCTATTATAATAAAGAATTTAATTTCCCATGTGTATATGAAACATTCTCTTTGAATTATCCGAGCCAATGGCACAAAGGTTTCTGAAGATGTATTCACAGAGGAAAATACCTCCCAATATCTCTGCAATTCACACTGAAGAATGCCAACACCCCTACCAGAGACAATTCTGAGCCTGTAGATGATCTGTCCAGACTCATTTAATCTCCTTGCGAAACTCAGAAGCCACCCAGGAATTAGTCTTTGAAACGCTTGCACACACCTGTAATACCAGCACTGAGGAGGCTGAGGCAGGAGGATTACAAGTTTAATCCAGCTAACTATATTACAAGTGCCAGGCTAACTACACAGACCGTGTCTCAAGAAAAAAAATAGTATTTTAAGACACAGCACACCAATACAGCAGAGGCTGTTCTGGGTCTAGTGTGTGTGTGTGTGTGTGTGTGTGTGTGTGTGTGTGTGTGTGTGTGCATGTGCGTGTGTGCGTGTGTGTGCGCACGCATCAAGCTGTGTCTTCCATACTCTAACGGCATCTGGTGGCAAAGCTACCCCTCGACTGGAGAGTAACATGGCCGTTTGGTTTCCCTACAGGGAGCCACCGGTGTCTCAGCAACTGCTGACGCTGAGCTGAAGGCATATGCACAGTGACGCCATCAGCCGTGGCTACCTACCACGGATGGGAGTAGATCCTTCCTTCCTTGGCTGTCCTTTCCCCCAGAGGGTGTGCCACGCCTCAGCTAAGCCTCCAGATGGCTGCCTTGATGCCCACTGTTAATCCTCCTGCCCTCTGTCATCTGAGACGATATAATCCCAGGGCTGAACATGCTGGCCTATCAAGCAAGCCACCTTATCTTAATCCGAAATGGGGGAGACCTTCCCACCGAGCACCAGCTGCGTAGCAATCTATGCCTCTCTCAAAGAGACTTGCATTTCAAAAGGAGACATTGGCTCCTAACCAGCCCAGGGGCCCCTTCCTGCCACAGGCGTCCATTTCAGTGTCCGCCTGAGCACATCCTATGCCCAGCGTGGTTGGGGAGCATTTACAAGATGAAAATTCCAAAGCAACAGACCCCCACAACCAAGGCACTCAACCCCAGCACGTACCTAAGTAGCCCAATCAACAGCCACCTCCAAACTCATTGCCACACTCACCCAGAAAGCAGAATGAGAGGAGATGCATCGGTTACCACCAGTTCAGTCAGCAGCCCGTGAGACGGTCAGCACCCGGGCAGATAAAGAGAAGGCCCCCACCCTCAGAATATCCAACAACACTTGAGTGCCAAAGGGAAGGTTCCCGGTGCAGTGGCCATGCATGGCTTCCTCTGTTGCCTCCCCTCCCTGAGCCAGCAGCTGCACTCCACATGGAGGAGGAGTGAGCCTCTGGTCTCTTCTACGCCCCCTCACAGACATGCAGGACCTCTGGGCCTCCAGAGGACAGGGTCGTCAGGCAGGATGCCCACGGCGCATGCTCCCTCTGCTGTGGTCACACCGCTCATGCTGCCTCCCACCCACTCGGGGACTCTTGTGCTGACCGCCCGCATGTCATTCAGCTTTAAAGACAATGACAACAAGGTCCAAGATTTGAGGGATGTACCTGGCTCTCTCTCCCCTCCAGTGGTGGCGGGATCTCATCAGCAAAACCAATCTTCCCTGGGTCACCCATAAAGGCACTAACCTCATCCACGTTCTCAAAAGCGTTGATGACGTCGTATGGCAAACAGGACAGGAGGTCGATCACAAACCATGTCTTCAGGTAGTTCATGCGGATAAGTTTGGGGTCAGAGATCACCTCCCCCGCTGGCCCGACAAAGGTGGTGTGAAAATTCAGAACAATGTCCACTAAAAAGATGACGTCCACGATGCTGTCCACCACCAGCCAGGCCACGTTATTCTGCCTGGTTTTAAAGGAGACGTTGTAAGGGACCAGGATGGCTGTGTAGAAGGTCAAGATCAAGATGATCCAATCCCACGTGGTCTTAAAGACACAGTAGTGTAAGATGATGTGGGGGGGTGTCTTTGGCGCCTCCTGCTTGTACTGGGGAAGGATGTCTGAGCCCAGTTGCAGGACCTGTCGGGGAAAAAACATGACCAAGAGAGACAGAGTTAGGAATCAACAGAACCATCCCACCCATTGATACCTGCCAGCGGCAAATGCTCACAACTCTTCGAACAGATCGTTAGCGGTGGTAACGGATGCTAAAGAGGGACGGGAGAACTTGTGTGAGCATGCTAACACGAGTGCTCATACTGAAATGATGGCAGCCTGCTGTCTGGCCAACTGTAAGCTGAGCAGCGTGCTAAGCACTTTAGCTGCATTTTATTGTCTCGCTCATTTCCAAACACAACCTCATCTGCTTCTTTCCCGCTAGCCAATTTTATATGTGACAGGTGAGAAGCTGAGCAGGAGAATTAAGCAACTTTATTCGACCAATATTTACACATTTATTGTTCTGTGCCAGGGACAGTGTGGTGTAGGCCCTGGGCATCTGGCACTGAAGAAAGAACACAGGGCCTGCTTGCTTGGAGCTCAGTCTCATAGACACACTGAGGATCATGTCAAACTGCGCTGGGGACTGACGGGATCGTCTCCCCTGAGAAAGGGGGGCAGGGGGCAAGACAGTCCATCCTCCACATGTGCACAGAATTTCTCTCCTTGTGAAAAGGACCTCTCTCTAGAGCAACTATGAAAGTTTAGGAGCAGAGGGGTAGTTCAGTCAGTAGAGTATGTAAAGACTCAGGCATTATGCTGGCCTGCCCCTGTCACCTGCCAGAATGTACTCAGGAGGTACCTTGGTCAGCCCAGGGCTCCATAATGACATAGTCTGCACACGGGTGCAAAGGACCTCTTTAAAAGAAAGACCCCACCCACTTAAGCTCCCATTCTCCTCTCTTTCCTGGCTCTCTTTCCCGCTCTCTTCCATGAGGTTCCCCTAGGATAGACAGGATTTTTCCTGTCTTCCTCTTCTCTTCTGTCCTCTCCGTGTCTCTGTGTCTCTTTACCTCTCTCTCTCCCCCCCCCCCCACCTTCTAATAAAACTTCTCACTTAAGCTCTGTCTGCCTGGCATGTTTGTCCCTCTGCCTCAGTCACCTTTGACTGCCATGGCATCCGCCAAAGCCCCCCATGTAAGGTCCCCCTCAATCTTTATCATAACAGAGTGCTCCCCTAACGCATACAAAGCCTGGGTCTGACCCTGGCTCCACTGAATCCCAGTGCGGTGGTCCCTGCCTGCAATCCATCCCTACACTGGAGAAGGATCGAGGAAGACAGAAAGATCAGAATTTCAAGGTCATCTCGGCTACGTACTGAGTTTGAGATGCACAAGACCCTGTCTCCCTCCCACCAAAAAGGGGGAAGCTTGGGCACAAAGAATAAAGCAAATAAAACCAACTAAATAGAATTGCTTCTGAAAATTCAGAGTAGGAACAAAAACACAGCAGGATATCCCTGACTTTGTACCTTGGGTCTTAGACTGGAAGGAGTAACCTAGGAATACCAAGGCACCCAGACAATGCCCCTCTCCACACAAAAGTTCCACATCTCCAGCTAAAGGACAGGGCACCACCATGCAGCTCCAAACAACAGAGAGTCCTCAAAGACTCTGCTGCTGGGGCCATATGCTGCAGAGTCTGCTGTGCCCTAAAGGTCCACCCGGGAGCCTGCTTCCTTTTCCCAAATGTTGCAAGGAAGCAGCCACACTCTCTCACTGTAGGGGTGAATCATGCAGCGGAGGGAACCTCAAGAGCCCACCACACCCCAGCAGCATGAGGTCACCCCTGATACCCACATCCCAGAATAGTATCAGCGTAAGAAGAAAGAGCAATGTGCTAGGCACAGAGACACATACTTGTGCTGCCAAAAGGCTAAGGCAGGTGGAGCACTGCCAGTTTGAAGCTAGCCTGGGCTACATAGTCCATCCTTCAGCGTCAGTAGAGACAGACTGACAAAGCTTTCTTCCACCCAGGTTAGACAGAAACTGGGAGGTGCCTGCCCTGACGTCTGCTATGTAAGTCATAGGGAAACCACCCCAAACCAAAACTCTTAAGAGAGATTTAAAGTCAATATTCAAAATTCCCAGGTCCATAAATGCCATTAATTATACAAAGAACCCCAGGGATTGCAAACTGAGTGAAAAGTCATAGACGCCAGTACCAGCAATGGCAAAAACACCAGAAGTATCCAACACATGATTTCCTGGGCAAGCTCTAAAGGAATGGAAACACGGAAAGTCCCCGCAGAGAAAGGGTGGATACAAAGAGGAACCAGACAGATGCCACCCTCTCCCCCAATACAGTAGCTGATTAAAAAAAAGCCCAGTGGGTAGCCTCAGCAACAGAACCTCGGGAAATGGGGGAGTAAAGCAACACAACCTGAATCATCCTGCAGCTCCTGTTCTGTGATGGGCATGGTCACAGCATCCCAGAGAGAAGGGGACATTACAGGAGGACCAAACCACCAGGAAGACGTGAATGCACTGACAAGAACTTCAGAGTGTGTGAAGCAGAAGCTTACAGAGATGAAGGGGGAAACTCATCCATGGTACCTCTCTCTCAAAGCGCACGATAGAGCACTAGGCGGCAAATTAGCAAGGATGGTGGTAGAGGGCTTGCATAGGACCTTGAGTTCCATCCTTAGCAGGAAGTAAGAAAGAGGGGAGGGAGGGAGGGAGGGAGGGAGGGAGGGAGAAAGAGAGAAAGAGAGAGAGAGCATACAAGGACATAGAACTTGATGATACCAAGAAGCCATTGGATTTGATACCAACAGAACCCTCTTCCCACACAGGAGCAGAACATTCAGTCTCTTCAAAGGTACGCAGACCATTATCCGGAGAGCCTGATGCTAGTCTATCAGACAACCCCAAACACTTAAGTAAAACCACACAGCACCTCCTCTCCACCCACACACGCTGTAAATGGATCGTGGAAAGACAGCAAGAAGCACGCCAACACTTGAAAGCTAAACAGCACGTTCTTCAAACGATCCACGGGCCACGAGGCAACATCAAGGGGTGGTCTAAAACACGCCGGAGTCCACGGGAATTGAAAACCCCGCCCAGCAAAGTGTGTGGAACGCCGCTGAGGCAGAGCTGAGAGGGAAATGTGCAGGGACAAAAGTGAGAGTCTCTAGCCGGTAACCAACCTCTCACCTCAAGAACCCCTCCCTGTGAAGAAGAACCCACTGAAGCAAAGCAAGCAGAAGGAAAACAAGGAGCCCCAGTCAAAGGAAGCCGAAGGGAAAGGAGAGAGAAGTGCTGGTGGTGAAAGATTAATAGATAACACTGGAACTGGGGGAGGGTGGGATTACAGCTCTGCTGTTAAGGCCTTTGGTTCAAACCACAGTACCAAAACACAAAACAAAAACAGCATGCACTGACCAAGAGAAACAACGGTGAATGAGTCAGGGATTATCAACGGGAGCCCCAGAGACAAAGGGGGGGGGCAGCGAGCAAGGACAATGACAGCTCGGAACTTAGAAGCTACCACAGATGGATTCCCCAAAGATGCACAGTGTGTCAACTCCCAGCCCAGAACTGAGGAGACTGCATTCTTCCTGTTAAACTCCCAAAGCAGAACTCTCCAAGCAAGGGTGGCTTTCATGAAGACATCTCCAAATTTAATTTTACACACAGTAATTTTACACAATTTCTTGCAGAAGATAGAATCAGAAGGGATACTTCTCAATTCATTCCATGAAATTAGTGTTACCTTGGTCCCCAAACCAAAGAACGCACAGAAGACTACAGATATCCCTCACAAACATATACACAAAAGTCCTTAACAGCTGGCAGCAGAGAGGATTTAGCAGTATTCAAAATGAATTACTACAGCAGTATATTCCAGGAGTGCAAACTAATTGAATATTTGAAAAATCCGCGACTGATAAAATTCAGTTACCCATTCATGATATTTAAAGAAAAAAAGCTCGGAAGTAGGAATACAGGGAAAATCTCTAAAATTTGTCAAAAAGTAGGGAGTCAGGGACGTGAAAGAAGATAGGAAAGAGAAAGATGGGTGTCAGGCGGGGGTGGGAGGGGACAGGTCCTGTGACCTGCAGCTACCCTTCATGGTGGAAACCCAAGCACTTTCCCATTAAGATGAGAAAAATCAAGACGCGGGCTCTTAGACTGATACTCGGTCCTGTCTCGCCACACTGGGCACTTAGCAAAGTTCAAACAGACAAGAAACACACGCGAGGCACTCTATTCCTGTGTCACAGACGTGAGCGCCAGAATGTTATATTACCATTTATAACTGCTGAAAAGCACGTAGGTGTAAACATAGGGAAAAAAAAAGAAACCGTGTCACACTCAAATGTTGAAAACAACAACATGTTGATGGAGCTGAGCCAGGAAACGAGGAGACACTGTGCTCAGAAGTTGGAAGACCCAACACACTAAAGATACCCATTCTCCCCAAATGGACATCTAAGTTTAGCGCAGTTCCTATCAAAATGCTAGCGAGAACCTTTGTAGACACATATGCTCAAAAACTTGCTGAAATTATGTGGGAGGGCAAAAGAATTAGAATGCCTGAAGCAATGTTCGGTAGGAATGGAGTGGCTGAAACCTGCCAAATTATATCCATTAAACGCATGTAGATTCCTTGGTTTCGTTTATCCCCCCCCCTTGGGGGGGCAGGAATTTGCTTGAGTATCAATCATACCTCAGTAAAAAAGAAAATGGGGAGGGACTGGTATAGCTGTTTCAGGACAGCTACAGCTGTAGTAATTAAGACTCGACTGTCTGCAGAAGACTGAACATAGAAAACAGAACACAAACGGGGGCCCACAAAATCATGCCCGAGTGACTTTCATACCACCGGGGCACGTGAACACTCGCCGGCCAAAAAGTAAGCCCTTACCTATGTATCTAAAAACAGACTGAAATGTCACTGGATGCAGATGTACACGTAAGATCCTATCTCAGGAGAAAACGGTGAGAAAAGCTTGAGGGTCTTGGGCCCAATGGCAAAACCACAATCTGTCACGTGAAGAATGGACACACGGGACTTCACAAGGCATGGTCAGGAGAGGACACCTGGACACCCGCAGAGCAGCATCAACAAAGACC